TAAGGACTGTCTTGATCGGCTCGAGCATTCTGAAGTGCTTGCCTCCTGTGTTCGAACGCAAAAGCCCTGCGTGTACTGTGGTCAGCACATACCTAAGTCCACCTTTGAGGGCACATATGCAACTGGCTGCTATGTGCTGTGGCAATCTATGTGCCATGCTGCAATCTGGCCTGAGGCTGAACCTCTTCAAGAGATTCATGCCCAGCCAGCAGGCGGAAAGAGCAGGAGAATGCCCCGGAAAGGGCTTCGAAGCAGCAGCGCACCAAGGAGATAGTGCAAAAGGGGGGGAGCGGACGCCACGGCAAAGGCAAGGGATCCAGTCGGGGCCCTTAGCAGCAAGCCTTTCGTTCCAGGCGCTCTTCGGAAAAGCAGCAGGGCCTCAGCGATCAAAACCTGTTCCTTCTTTATCAGATGCTGATCCGCCTTGTGCTTCGCCAGGGAGACGCACTGAGGATCTTGGCGCTCAACACTTCCCTGGTTCTGTGGCTTTGGACTGGACTTCCAGCAGAAGTCCCAGAGGCGATGTTCACGGCTGCTCAGAAGTGGAAAAAGCTTCGGGCAGGAGAAGTGAAGGCCCCACTTCGACACATCCTGTGGATATGCCTCCTCACAGAGCTCGAAGCCAGGACAGACCCGGCCAAGCTTACGGAGAAGACCAAGACTCACCTAACGAAAATGGGCTTTATCAAGGACGGGCAGTGGCTCTACCTAAAGTGGTCCTTCGAGGAGAACAAACTGCTGACGGACACTGCCCGGAGCCCCATCTTCCTCAAGGATGCCCATCAGCAGGTGAAAGACCTCCTGCGAATGTCCCAGGATCCCCAGGTCATCACCAGGTTTCATCCGACTCGCCCGCTGGCACCGGAGCTGAAGAGTCCCACCGTCACGTTCATGTCTGGCCCCACTGGAGGAGGGCAGTCGACCATCGACTACCCAGATGCAGGCCGGATTCACGCCTCACCCACCAGCAATACCGCCACACCTCCACACTTGTCGCCTTTGCATGGTATGGACCAGCAACACATTCTCCGTGCAAAGCTTGTCAACAGTGGTAACACATGCTACACTAATGCATTCATACTTGCCATTCTTTGGACTGCATGCCGCTCGGGTCAACCCTCACTGCCCACAGGACTGATGAGGACACTAAGTTCGGCCCTCAAAGAACGCAAGCCTTTGAATATATGGCGGCTTTTGTTGTGGCGCAACCTCATGCGACAATGGAGCGAACCCAACAGGCAGCATGATGCTGCTGAGCTCATTGCGTTCCTCCAGGACAAAGGGTTTGCAGAATACTACGAGGGCCACTGGCAGCGACGAGTCCTTGTTGAGGGACGTGTCAGCATTGAGGAGGCTGGCAGCACAATGCCACTTCTTCTTTCGGTTCCCCTCTCAGCTCACTGCACGCCTCAAGCCCTGTTGGACCAATGGCATGCTCAGGCCGGATTTGCGGGATTGCTGACAGCGCCATCGCACCTGATTGTGCAACTCAATCGTTTTGGCATTGAAGAAGAGTCATTGCAGAAAAGTAGTTGCCCTGTCGATATCGCCAGCACGTAAAGCGTCCCGGTGTTCAACGTTGACCTCGTGACCACCAGACAGCTGTACAGACTTCATGCCTGCATTGTTCATCTTGGTCCACACCCCACTTCCGGGCACTACAGAGCTGTTCTTATGAGTGAAGACAGACGATATTACACTGACGATCATGCCACTGCAAAACCTCTTCTTCAGAAGGATGCTGTACAGCTTTCACTCAATGTGTACATCCTGATATACTCCAAGGCCTGCTTCACAGATGCGTCTAGCTGAGTTACGGCCCTGCATGCACATGTGGCTTTTGGAAAGGGACGCCTTTTCTCTTGCCGTTTACATGGCGCATGTCACTGTCGCGCGCTGACGAGCGAAAGTGCAGTGCTAAGGGTGTCGGACTCCTTTCTTTTCACTCGTTTTCCGTGGTGGCCTGCTTGGGCATTCGTGCCGGGGCCACAAGTCTTTTGTAGTTAGGAGCTTGGCTCGCTGCTCTCACGCAGCCGGACCACAGTGTCTGCTTCGGACTCGCTAGGTGCCAGACATGGCATTGCGCTGCAAAGCAAAAAAAGCTATCTCCAGGAGAGGATCCAAGAGGCCCAGACCCTCAAGGTGTTGTGGTGTCCGACTTCAGCGATGGTGGCTGATGTCATGACAAAGTGTTTGAGTCAGATGACCTTCACTCAACACCAGCGGGCGCTAGGGTTTTTCCCTGACGAGAATGTGCAACAGGTCTGGAGGGTCTGTGGTTTGCGACGCCACATTGGAAGGACGACCGGGATGTCCCAGTATGCTGGAGTTTTTGAAAATTCCATCAAAGAAAGTGAAATTTCTGATAGCCCCAGTGATCTAAGTGAAAGCCCCCCATGTTGTACCCGAGGTATGGATTTGTGGTCAACCTGCAGGAACTCTGGTTCAAACCGAATGGGTACGGAAGGAAGCGCCGAGAAAACGGTGAAGGGCACCGAAATGCAAGCCCCGTTTTGGTGTAAGCCATGCAAATGGCTCTTCAGAAGTGACCGGGCTTCCGGGCTTGGCTGGACAAGTGAAGGAAAGCCCCAGTGCTTGAAGTGCCAAACGGTTGTGACCGTTTGGGGAACGAACGCGTCGCACGCGTTCCACCTCCGAGAGGGCGAAAAAGAGAGAAGGGCTGCAGGAAAGAAAGGTGAAAAGGGTGAGGGGAAGAGTGTTGCCCAAGGGTCTGGCCAGCAGCCCCCGAAACCCAAGAGTATGCCCAAGCCCTTGGAGCGCATGGTTGAGTTGTTCCCAGACCTGGCTGCGCTGGAACCGCCAACGTGGTACAACGAGGCATGGTGGGCGATATGTCGTCGTGGAACGGCAATCGAAGATCTGAATGTTTCGAAGTATGTCACCGAGCTGTCAGAAAGTGATATGGTGAAGTACCAAAACAGCTATGAGAAGCTGGTGAAGCCGGTGCAGGCGATTGCCGAGGTGAAGCAGAAACCTTCGAAGCTGTTGGGGATCCTCGATCTCCGGACACAGATTGGTGGCAAGGCCCTGATCTATGAGACGGCGATGGCAACGGGTGTGCTCTACCTCGAGGTGCCACAAGCCACGTTTGCTCTGAGTGTGATAAGTTTCGTGCGATACCTCAAGGCCAAGGGGAGCACCCCTGTGCTCCTTCTGGGTGAAACCCAAGACCTTGGGATCTTGAGGTTGGTGGATATGTTGTTTGGACTGCCAATCCTCTGTGGGGAACGGGGCGTGAAGAGCGAGATGGAATGCACTGCGCATCCACCATGGATCAACCGCTGGAAAGACCACGCGAAGAGTGGCATGTTGGTCTTCAAGGAGATGTTGGATAAGGTGCGGGCAATATCGCTGCTGTCGTGCATCACGATGAGGATCCACGATCCGACCTTGGCCAAGGAGAACCGACCAGTGCCGCGTTGGGCATTTCATGTCTATGGCAACTACAAGGCAGTGTTGGGGTCGGTAGTTCCGATCGTTGAGGATGAAGAGAAAAACAAGGCCAACGGTGGGAATAAAGTTACCGAGCACGAGACCAGGAGCTTGGTTAGGTGGGAATGCGAATGCAAGTGGCATCTCCCGACGGATTACGTCGAGAGATTCAATCTGATGATGCCGTCGAATGTGTGGCAGCAGGTGTGGCAGATCATGAGCGAAGGAATCAGTGACTTTGAAGCTGAGGAGAAAGCACGGAGAGAGATGGTGAAGAAAGCTGTGGTTCAGCAGAATCGAGAGTTCGAAGAAGCTGAAAGAAAGCGGAAAAGGATCGCTGAACTCGAGGCAGCGGAAGCTGAAGCGGAGAGCAACAAGAAGGCGCGAATGGATAGGGATGATTCGAGAAAGTCTCCCGTGTCAGTGGCCTCGCCAGCACTGGATGCTGCCATGATTGCGCAAATCGCAGAGCAAGTGCTTGCGAATTTGAGCAGCACGGATCTGGAAAAGATGTTGAATGAAAGGAAAGCATCCGAGCAAAGCCGATCATCGCAGGAGGTGATGATGGGTGAGCGGAAGGAAGATGCCGCGGAAGAGAAGGTTGAGGAAAAGAAGGATGATGCGGATGGCGCAGACATGGATTGAGGTGCTTGATGACCTCAAGGGGTGAAGACGATGCCCCGCAGCCGTTTGTGGGACGCCATGGCGTCCGAGCAGCAATGGCCGGCCCGCGTTTTTCCATTGGTTTCCGAGAAGCCTGAGTCAGCGCATGCGTTTTTGCTTGGTGGAAGCAGCAAGGTGATGATGAGTCGTGGAAGGGTATGAATGGCCCACTTCGCCAAGATTTGTCTGATTGCTGCCAGCTTGTCTTGGTTTGTTTTTGGAACCTGCCATTACGTTGGCTGCGAAACGATTTGCCAGCGAGTTTTGGTTCTTTCCTGGAAAGTTTGTGAGATTGAAGGCTATGACCACGTCGAGGTCGAGTACTGAGAGTGGGTGAGCCGGAGACTTGCATTAATTCGTTTGTCACGTGTTTGTCACAACGAACTCTTGGAGATGTTCCAAGACAGCCCTGTCTAGTGCAGGAGGATGCAAGGTGAGTTCGTTTGTCACGAGTTTGGACAACGAACTCTTGGCTTGAGTTTGTGAAAGTCGGCGTATTGTATTCCACACTCCTGACACTGAAACGTGACTTGAGGTTCGAGGCAAAAATCGAGCTGCAGCAGAGGCCCGCAACGCACGCGACCGGCTCGAATTGCGTCTGGAGCTGTATCGTCAGCATCAATGTTCTGCAAAGAAGCCACAATTTGTTGGTAATGCTGAAGCAGTGCATCCCTCCCAAAGCAAAGTGGATGATGGGATGCCTATTCAATCAACGGTGTCCGCAGTGCAGGTTCTGCAAAGCCCTCTACACCACTTGGAGTTCACTTCGCAGGCACATTGAACATAACAGTTGTCCAGGTCTCAGACGCACAAGTCAACATGGTTCTGAGATATCAGGCGCTACGAGTGTTGGTGCAGATGAAACGCTGAGGGTAGGGGCCTCGATGTGGAAGTCGCTTTCAAGCTCGCAATCTGATACCAATGGCTTTACGCCACTCATTGCCCAGGCAGAGAAGATGGAGTACTTGCGTGCGCACGGCTGGCGAAAGTTTCTTGCTCAGTTTGCATCGCAATGCGACCTACATCACACCTGTGGGATTTGCACGCAGTGGGTGGTTGACGGCAGGGCAATCAGGCAACATTACAAGAAATCTCACGCCAGCATTTGGGCTCGCTATTCAGCGCAGTACGAGGCTGAAGTCAAGCAGCTTCGTAAAATAGCAGTATCGCCTTGTCGCTATTGCGGGGCCAGAACCTCTGATGCCCGCCAGCATGCAGGCAATTGCACGTATGTTTTTCAGAGCTTCTTGATGCTTTGTCATATCTCTTGGGCAGGAGCCGGACAGCAGCCTCACTACAGCGGCGGCGGTCAACCAAGAGATGATGGCAGTGCTAGGCGGACTCCTGCCGAGCATGCAGGCCTTAGCAGAGAGCAGTCAACAGCTCGGCAAGCGTCAGCTGGACTCGGGCTCCCCCGCGAGGCGCAAGCACAAGTGGGTCAAGGGAGACGGAAAGGGGGCTTCATCGATGACTACTTCCAACGACCTGCTCCCACTGATAAAGCTATTGGTGGCTCTTGTTCTGCGACAGGGCGACAGTCTTGGTCGTCTGGAAACAGACACAAGCTATTTTTTGGCGCTGAAGGTCCCAGGAGAGGAGTCGCTGGCTTTGACAATGGTCAAAGTCATCGCCAAATGGCGAGATCTCAAGTTGAAGGATCCTGCTCAGTTGAAAATGAGCCTCCGCACCACCCTGTTCGTGGCCTTGTTGCAAGAGCTGGGGGCCAGGGCAGAGGCGCTCTTGACCAATCCGGAGAAGATTCAGGCCCTCAAAGATCAGAAGCTTCTGACTGCAGAGGGGGAGTGGGTCTACCAAGTCTGGAACCCCGCCGAGAAAACCCTGGAGATCTGCCCCACTCGGACCCCGCTGAAAATGGAGACCTTCATTCAGCAGGTCAAGCAGACGCAACAGGCAATTCTTGTTCCCGAACATGTCACACGTTTTCAGGCGACAAAGCCGCCGAACGAGGAGCACCTGGGGGAAGTGCTACCCTTTTTGATAGACGTGTCGCTGCGTCCTGGTGCAGCCCGGGTCCATCAGAACCTGAGATCCTGGGTGGAGTGCGCAGCCCTGCAGCTCATCGGAGCTCGGCTTCGAGGTGCGAGGCAGAAGCGCGGTCAGCAAATGAACCAGCTACAGCAATGGTTGACAGCGCATCGTTGACGAGTCCTCCTCCTTGCAGGTGCGTGTGTTTCAATGCTTTCAACTACTGCTATGCCAATGCTCTGATTCAGGCTCTCGCAATGGCATCGTGGTATCAGTCTGATCTGTTTGTACCGACCTCTGTTTTGGGATGTCTGTTATCTCGTTTTTGCGCCTCCTGCTTTGTGGGTGCTCTCTCAGGCGATGTATCTTTTCAGATTTTGATTCAGGCATGGCACGCACCGCAGCAACAGCATGACACTGTCGAATTTCTGGAACATATACTGCAACGGGTTGATCATGGATGCAATGTATTTGGGCACTGGCAGGCACGGCATCTCATCCCGCGGGAAACTTGGAGCGATCAGGGCTCACTGTATCTTCGCTTACAACCGCGGCTACCTGATGGGATGCCGCGTGTCAGTTTGGATGACGCAGTGCAGGAGTGGCATCAGCAAAGACTGCTACATGCGTTATGGCCTTCTGCTCAACTTGTCTGCATTGTGTGGGACAGATTTAAAGTCTTGTCTTCTGGCACACACAAGGACGTCATCGCATGCCCGTTTTCTTTGGAGGTCCAGTTGCCGATCTGCTGTTCTGCTGAGGGGTGCAGGGTCAAGTGGGAGCCCTACATACTTGTCTCAGCCGTCATGCATGTTGGAGCCACCCCGGTTACAGGCCATTATCGTGCACTATTGCTTGAGCGCAGCGGTGAGAGCTTGGGCACAGTGCAAAGATTGCACTACATGGATGATGAAAGTCTGGCTCATGTATTGTCTGTGGACTCCGTCGATGTACTGCAAGATGCTTATGTTTTGATGTACCTTCGACAGCCCATATCTGCTTTATGAGTCTTTCATCCATTCGCGTATCGATGTTTTTCACGGTGAGAGGGCCTGATAAAAGTTCGCGATGCAACTGGCCGAGCTTGGCTTGCTTCATGCCTGCGTATGGTTTCAATTTCAGTGCGCGTCCTCCAAGGTTATTCGAGTGAAGTGGCAGTCTGCTGAAATCCGTTATGCTGCTGACGTCACGTCATAGTGATGTGGATTTGGTGGCCTATGTTGGCCTCTCTGGTGTTTGAATTTCACACTAGGAGGCTATTTCCGATCCTCACTTCTTTCAATCCTGACTGGTCATTTGAATCTTGCTGCTAGTGGTCGATAGGTAGGTCTTTGTTGTACATACTGCCAGCTCTGGTTGCCATCTGGGTATGTACTTTCTCTGCTCCTCTGGAGCCGGTGCATAGCACTGTAGCATAGCGCGAGACTGAGAGACAGTTTGCGACCCACAAGACACAAGACAACGAACTCTTGGGTGCCAAGCCAATACAGGACCCAGGACAACCTGCCCCATGGTGGGATCTTGCATGAGTTTAAGTTTTTATGTCAGAGATCAGCTGGTGTGTCGTTTGTTTCGCTTTGGTGGCGAGTACGCACCAAGGGAATGTGGCCAGGGCATCCCCTTAGTGTTGAAGTGCCGAGCTGTGCTTGGACTTTGGATCTTTGACATGAACCCTCAGCAAAATGCGGGGGGTGGAAGATCGTGGCTGATCATTGATGGTTTTGTCACGTTTTGGATCAGCTTGTATAGAGTTGTTTTGCTTCGGAGTGATTGGGAATCGTTATGATCCCATCCTGGATGGTTTTTGCCTCGATGATTTCGAAATCATACGAGTATGTTTTTGCCCAACACGCTACTTTGAGTGAGTGTGCAGTGTGTAGGAACTTTGTTCTGAAGCTGAGTTTAAGCTCACATGTAAATTCGTTTAGTTTGCGCACTTCGTGACTTTTGGCTCAAGGCCTGCGAGTGAAGAAGAGCGTGTCCGCACTTGGTTGAGATAGGTTTGGGTTCGCGCTTTCAAGGGAAAAGGTACCAGAGGGACCTTCGGTTTTTCACGGGGCTCACCGACACGGATGTCAAGGCGTTCGAAATCGTGGCAGGGCTTCACGAACACGACGGTCAAGGTGTCTGAAATCGTGCAGGGCACCGACGCGATGGTTAAGGTGTTGGAAATTGTGACAGGGCACACCAACAGTGTTCGAAAATGGTGGCAAGACACACCGTTGTGCGAAATCGGGCACGGTCAAGATGTTTGAAATCGTGGTTGGAGCAGACGGACACGAGGTCAAGGCATCGACACAAAGCTCAAGGTGTCGAACGTGGCAGGGCACTGGCAGGGCGCCAACACAGCAGTCAAGGTGTTCGAAAATCGTGACACGACGGTTCAGGTTTTTGGAATTGTGGCAGGGAACACCACAGAAACTGTTCGAAGTCGTTGCAGGGCACACCGACAAGAGGTCAAAGCTGTCTGAATATGATATTAACTTTGTTGTCCTGCATGCTGGCTCAGAGTTGTGTGTGTAGTGGGAACTCGGTAGTTCTGCCTGGGAGGCTCGACGGGAGTGGCTTTCAAGTAGGAAAGCCTTTTAAAGTGCTTGAGTTGTAGGGATGTGTGTCTTGAAGCTGTAGGAGTGACTGTGCACGTTTTTGCTTGCTTTAGGTGAAGGCGAGAACTCCCACTGACGTTTTGAGTTTGTTTTGTGGTTGTGGAGAACGCGTGGCAGAGCAGAGTTTTCACCTGTGTAAAGAGTTTCACTGACAAAGCCTCCGGCTTATGACTTTGGCTCAAGTCGTGAGAAAAAGAGAGTTCAGCGTGCTGCTGCTGTGTTTTCACATGGTAGCGGAGCGTGTGTAGCACGCTCGTAGAAACTAGGAAGCCATGGCTGACCCCGGGGACGACGAAGACGACGAAGCTTTGTTTGGCCCCGGTGCTGCCCAGGACGGGCAACATCCGCCAGCACAACCAACTGGAGCGTCTGCTTCAGCTGGAGGACCCGCCACGGTCGTAGGACTTGACCCTCAACTCCAGCAGATGATGGTCCAGATGATGCAGAGTCAGCAAATGATGATGCAGGGCAACAGACACTTCAAGTTCTGGTGGCGAAGATGGAGGCCGACGAGAGAAGGAGACGTGAGCAGGAAGCCTTGTCTGCAGCTGTTAGCAACCCGTTTGGGGGTGCTTCAAGTGTAGCAGCTGCTGGAAGTCCCACTGCAAAGGCTTCTGCTCCTCCACCGGCTCCATCACAGAATCTGCATGTTGGAAGTAACCGTGCGGAGAAGTATCTGCCAGCTTTGCCGCTCATCGATAGTGTTTCGATGGGAAAAGGGCGTGTGAGAGAGCTGGAGTCAGCTGGAGGAGTACCATCGGTGGTGCGAGGTGCTTGCTTCCTGGCTGGCATTGATAGACGACAACTATGTCAATGAGTTACGCCAGGCAATGACGCATGACCGTGAGATCAAGCAGTCTGACATGGCAGTTCCTGTTGCTTCGCGTTCGGCGAGGCTGTTTTACTACCTGCGACAAAGTCTGCAGAAGTTCGAAGGTGGGATGGAACTGGTGAGAAGCACTTCGATGCGTCAAGCACAAGTTATGAGGTAGTGCGTCAGATGCACCAGACCTTCAGCATTGTCTCTCGCGTGGAGGCCATCGCTGTGAGAGACGAAGCCCTTCGCCTAACGTCGAAGGCAAGTTCGTACAAGCGACCGCTTGACTGCGTCCGCTTTCTTGAGGACGAGCTTGGAAAGGTAGACCAGAAGCTGCGTCGGTTCCCTGAACTGCGGCTTGGAGCATCTGATCGGTCAACCCTTCTTCAATCTGTCGGCCCAGAGTGTAGGCATTACGTTGTCCTGCATGGGAAGTCTGGGAGCTGGGATGAACTGGTTGAAAGCATCCGGTTCTACGAGGAGCAGACCCGATTGTGTGATGCTGGTTCGCTGAATGCAGTTGGGGAGCGTGGCCTCTGCTGGAACTGTGCCAAATCGGGCCATATGAGTTGGCAGTGCCCGGACAAGAGCCCTGGAAAGGGGAAGAAGAAGGATGAACCGAAAGGTGGAAAGCCTTCTGGTTCCAAGAATCGAGAGAAGAGCCCTAAAGGAAAGGGCAAAGGCAAAGGGAAGACAGACAAAGGAAAGGGTGGCAAGCCCAAAAAAAGCCCAAGTACAAAGGAAAGCTCAAGGGCCGAGCTGTAGATGATCGCATCACCATGCAGATGTTTCCCAAAAAGAAAACAAACACCGCAGGGAGCCCGTGTGGTCGAAAGATAGGGAAATCGTTCGCAAGTTCCATCGTGCCTATGAGGATCTGTCGTTACCTGTAAGCCTCAAAAAAGCGGTTCACAGAGCTCACCACTTTCACCGCATGGGGCACTCGGGTTGATAGTCAGTCTGGTTATTTAGGGACCCCGCCTGAGAAGCTACATGTTTTGGCCCAGCTAGTCTTGCAATTGTTGACCCTCGGGACTGCCACCAAAAAATGTCTACAGCAGGTACTGAGGAACTCCTCGTTGCAGTAGCAATCCTGCCTCTAGCGCATTTCTGTGCACGTTGGCCGCTCAGTCAAAGGATTGCCGCAACTGATGCCAGTGCGGATGGAGGAGGAAGGTGTTCAGCCGTGGTGCCTTTCTGGGTGTCCCACTTGATGTATTTATGTGTCGCTTAAACAGGTCATCAGGTGAATTGGCTTCTCCGTCAGCAATGTGCAGACCGGACTTGCTTTTGGAGCGTTTTGTCAAACTCCAGGATTGGTTTGTTCTGAGAAGGTGCGATTCCGACGCAAACGACACATAAATCTGTTGGAGTTGGGCATGATTAGACGTGAGCTCATCGAAGCCGCGTCCCGCGCAGCTCAGGGCCTGCGTGTAGTCAATCTGTGCGATTCTCGGGTTGCTCTCGGGGCTTTCGCAAAGGGTCGGTCTAGCAGTAGGGCTTTGAACAAGATCCTGAGGTCTTGTTTGGTGTGGTCTCTCGCTGGGTCCAAGCTTCGAGTCAACCTCTGGATACACACTGACAGCAACCCTGCAGACTATCCTTCCCGCAACAAGCCAATCCCCAAGCCTTTGTGCCCTGAAGACGACGAGCTTGATGCACTAGGCCCTGAGTGGCAAGCGATGCAAAGCATTCGTAGTCACGCCGGGTGCTGGGCTGCAGATCCTGCGATTCGCAGTGCTGGCGCACGAAGG